TTTTGTCCACAAGACTCTTATCTACTACCACAAAGAGGTGAGGCAAATTGCATCCTGAATTCTTTCTTTCTGTTTTCCTCTGGTGCATATTGCATATCAATGTTTCAGAAGAAGAGGATGACAGCATCTCATTTTAAGATTATTTTTTTTTTTTGTCTTCTTAGAGCCACAAAATCCTTATCTTAAAATAAATAATTTATAGTTTGAGGTTATTTCAGTGGAAGTTTGAGAAGGTAGATTTCTATAGATTTTTGTTTTGTTTTGTTGGAATAAAAAAATGAATTTTCTGGTATTTTCTTACAAATGTCTGCTAATGGTGTACATTCCAAGTACTCGAAACAATGAGTTTTCCTGTACTGAAAAAATAAAATGTACAAAATGTGCATGATTTCAAATGTTACTAGATATTATAAATATATATATAATTTATTGAGTTTTTACAAGATGTATCTGTTGTAGACTTGTTGACTTTAACATTTCTTATTCAATGCTTATATAGTTTTATAGCCTGGACTATTATCTTTAAAAAGCTTAAAAAATTAAAAATTCCAATTTTGTTACATTTTATACTGTTGATGTTACAATCCACAGGTTTGCATAGCGTGGTTTTTTTTCCAGTGAGCAACTCTGTTCAGTTTATTTTAATACTGTATTTCTGTGCCTGACAGCTGCAGCTGTCGAAGGTGTGAGACGAACACTAAATAAAACTGTTCTGCTTTTGTTAACATGGCAAACTTAATTTTACCAAAACAAACAAAAAATAAACAAGTTTTTAAATTTTGGGGTTTATTCCCAGTTGTGCGGGGTCCTTTGCAAAATCAAACCTTCCAGGCTCTCAAGATTTGTACTGCCAGGAGGGTTTGTTATTTTTACAGTATGAGCCCTGGCCAGCACAGGTTTTATATTCATAATAAATTTATAACAATTTTTGATCAAGGGCAGTATTATTTTTTTGCTAGTGGGTATATTTATAGCCACACAAGCCACTGTGTGCATGAAGGTATAAAGGTATTCAGCCTCTGCTAAATGCAGGATTAAGCACAGCGGTTGCACAAGGGCAGGATTTTCTCATTAAAGCTCCATACGGATTTAATCCAGACCAGGATGTCTCCCAGGGTGATCATGGTGGTGCTCATGACATTGCAGATGCTCCCCAGGTGCAAGGTGCAAGGTTTATGAGACACTCAGCACCAGTGTGCTGGGCATGAGGGACCTCATCCTGTCTGGCTCCCCAGGGGTAAAAGGAGCCCAAGTTTGACTTTTGGGGATTGGGCCAGTCTTACCAGCACTTTCATATAAAATTAACTTATTCCTACAAGTGATCCTGAGCTGAACTGCATCCCAGGCATCTAAATTTTTGTGTGAAAGTTTTTTCTACAACCACACAGCCTGCAGTAGCAGGCACTGGTAATTTTAAATGGCTGGGCATGAGAGTGCATGCACTAGGCCCATGAAGATGATCAGAGGGTTGGAGCACCTCTCCTGTGAAGACATGAGATGTTAAAGCTGTCAGGGATGTTGAGGCTGGAGAAGAGAAGGCTCCAGGGAGACTTCAGAGCACCTTCCAGTACCTGAAAGGGCTGCAGGAAAGCAGGAGAGGGTCTTTTTAAAGGGCATAGTGATAGGACAAGGGGGAATGGCTTTAAGCTGTGAGAAGGGAGATTTAGGTTACATATTGGGAAGAAATTCTTTGCTGCGAGGGTGTTGAGACACTGGCACAGGTTGCCCAGGGAAGTCATGGATGCCCCATCCCCAAAGGTGTTGAAGGCCAGGTTGGATGGGGCTTGGAGCAACCTAATCTAGTGGGAGGTTTCCCTGCCCATTTAAGGGGGGTTGGAACTAGATGATCTTTAAGGTCCCTTCCAACCCAAACTATTCTAGGATTCTATGATCTGACAAGGTTCAAACTGTGACACTGAGACTGACAACCACCACTATTAGATCCTAGTAGAATTTAAAATAAAAGAATAATTACATTGCTTTGAGGTGATTTCCTTGCCATGATGAGAAAAACCCCATTCTTTCAGCACTACTAAAATGCACTGTGTGGGAGGAGGACCAGTCTTGATACCTGCTATGTGTTGTTTCCATGCTTTAAGGTCACCCTTTGATGTACTTCCCCACACTCTGTCCTATCAGGACTGGCATGAGCCAAAGGATTATCCCTGGCCACCCAGGGCTGCAGATGGAGAGCAGCTAAACAGCTTTTTGCTGGCTCACCTGCTTCATCTTAGCAGGGTGGTGAGGATGTTGTGCATCGTTTGCCACCAAGATTTGAAAAGCAGGAGAGGGATGGATCATTCTGCAGTTCACTGTGCTGTGTTACACACCTGTGCTTTACAGCTGCCCAAAATAAAGTCCTTAAAGCACACAGAGAGCTCAGAAGCCCAAGTCTGAAAGAGGCAAGTCTCTGTCTCAGCACAGTGGCTGACCCACGCATGGAGCTGGCATGATGTTTGCTTTCCCTCTTGGGTTTCATGATGTCATTCTTCCTCTCCTGATCTTCACCCGCAGCAGTGTTTGCTGCAGGGTTAGGGAGGAAGGGGTAATATTTTATTTTAATCACCCCACAATGCAGACACTTCTTAGCTGAGGATGAACATTTGGCTGCAGAGTGTGACCTGCATTGAGCAACGTGCAAAACGATCTCAAGAAACATCTGCAAAGCTCCTCAGCTGGGCTGTATCACTGAGCAAATGTCCCACTGCACCTCATCCTCCCCTTTGGTGGCTGCAGCCTTCCACCC